GGGATCGTCCCTCCCTTTGCCTGGGCCCTTATTTGTTTTATGGACAGCCCCATGGTGAGGCTTCAGCCACATGTTTTCATTTGATCCTCACAGACGGCTCAGGGTGGGGGAAACAGCACAAATGACTTCTGGAAAGCCCGGTCAGGGCCGCCAGCCCGGGTCTGTCCAACCTGGACACCCATGCTTCTCCTCCTGGGCTGGCCTAGCGGGACCCTCTGGAAACTGCCTGTTGACACCTTTCCTATGTCCCCACCGTCGCCTCTGCTCCCTGGTGCCCCTGGTCCCATTCGTGGATGCGTTTCAAGGACAGCGACAGCGATGCTCCCTGCAAACCTCTCTTTCCTCCCCGTTTCACACGCAAAGACTCAGTGCCATGTGCCTTTCCTGGGCGAGAAACCTGAGCACAGACAGGCCGAACCCCTGCCTGTTGAAGGGGTCACCGAGCTGGTGATCAGCAGCGCTGGGATCAGCAAGTACTGGGAAAAAGGAACAGTGTGGTGTAGCTGACAATTTTCCTTTGGGGAAGCGGATCCATTGAAAAGAGGAACCTGTGGCCCCAGAGGGGAGATGTGCTGGTGAAAGCTTAGCAACTGGCTCCCGGGGATCAGGGCCCTGACTGTAGCGCAGAGTCCCTGCGTGTAAATATTCTCACTGGGGCGTATTGTGCCCTATCAGTGATATCACTGAACGCCCAGTTGGGAAGACCGTGTGAACCATCAGCACTCGGAAGCCTGGGGACTCCGGCACCCACTGAAGACCTCTTCTTAAATAATTTTTTACTGGGGACACTTGCTTTGTCACGGCTAAAGGGCTCTTCTTTACTCAGACTTCCCCGTACACTTCCCCTTGAGGCCGTGCTACCTAATTTCTGTTCCTTCCCCACTCCTTTCCCAGTCACTGCTTCCCCACCCGCTTACACCTCATGACTCACTCTCTAGCAAGAGGCGGTGGAGAGGGTGGGGAGGGAGAAACCCGGACTCCCAGGCTTCAACCTCGGCTTCTCTTTATTGGCTGTGTTCCCTTGGGCAAGTCACTCCACCTGTTTGTGCTCCAGTTTGGTCACCTGTAAAGTGGGGACAATAATTATACCTACCACCTAATGTACGGTGGCCTTTTAAGCATTAGCTCCTATTAGTATTACTTCCTCCTGGGTGGCCTTAGCTATCTGAGCATTTCCTCTCCACCCCTCCCTATCCCTTTGCGGCCATAAGAAAGCCAGGACTTCTGCCCTCTCCAGCTGTCATGTTTTATTTTGCTCCCTCTAAGTAGCCATGAGGTCGACCTCAGTCACGCTGTCTGTCTTTCCCCACCCTCCCCAGCCGTCCTTAGCCGTCCCCACTCCCCTAAGGCCTCAGCCCATTTCCCGTCATGGAAGTAGCCAGCCTTGGCTTTCGTGGTAAGGGGAGTGTGCAGAATACAGGCCTCCCAAGGCTCAGGGCTCCTCAGCTATGTTGTTTCTCTTGCAGCCCCTCCTTTGGGGGCAGGTGGCTCTATTCTGCCCTGGCCTTCCAGGTGGCCCAATGTGAACACCTTGGTTTACCTACCTTTCTAGAGTGGAGCTGAAATTAGGTGATTTTTTCTTCTTTTAATAAAAATCTTATCATCACTTATAAATTATCTTTGGGGACCAAAAAAAAAGTTTAAAGATGTCACTGTCCTTGGCTAACTTGTGTATGTTGACTATGTGGACTTGTCCAGAGTATGCTGGAATTTGCTAAAGCGAGTAACCCTTCTGCCCACCCCCTCGTAGCCTTTCTGAGCTCTGCACCCTAGACCTGGCCCCTGGGAGGAGCGCGGTCCAGACGGAGATGGCTGACCCTGTCTTGTCTCTCTAATTCTTGGGTAAATTTCCCCCACTAGGTAGACAAATGAGCGCGGTGACTCAGGTCCTGGGACACAACGTGGAGAGCTACTGCGGCTTCCTCACCGTGAACAGCACTTACAACAGCAACCTTTTCTTCTGGTTCTTCCCGGCGCTGGTAAGCCTGCGACAGCCCCAACACAGCACTGCCCCCCGGGGCGGCTGTGCTGCGTCAGGGCAGACAAGTTAGCCTTCAGCTGCACTCAGGGTTGTGGGTGTTTTAATTTTTTAGGGTTTTTTGTTTTTGTTTTTGTTTTTCTAAAAATAAGTGCCGGTGACTCTGTGGAGTGTTCCTGTGTGTGTGCAGGAAACATGTGTTTGCAGGGGGGAGGGTCAGTTTTTAAAGTTCCTGCAGCCTGGTTCGGAATATTAATCCCACCACCTACTTCCTGCCACTACCTTTTTGTTGTTTTTTCTAAAAATACCTGGGGTAGTGGGGAGCCAAGGAGGATAAGGAGTCCCGGGGAGGCTCCTGAAGTTCACAGGTAATGCAAATCCACGCATGCCTAAATTTAGTCAATTGTGGTCTTGTATGGTTTCCCTTTCTGTGGGTCTTGCCAGGCTGCCTAGTATTCCTAAGCTCACTCCTTCAGGTAGCCAGTACCCATTAATTGAGCAGTACTCTGTGGAGGCACAGAGGAGAGGGAACTGAACCCCTCTACTCTGGGCCTTTGGGGAAGTGGGGAAGAGCAGTGATCTAGGATGGCTTCCTGGAGGAGGGGGCCACTCACCCTCTCAGGTCCATAATAGACAGAGATAGGTATACCTTTATACTTTGCTATTACTAATAAACTTATTTCAAGGTCACATAGTGATTCAGCATGAACAAATCATTTTAGGCTTATGGGTACCATTGGGGTAAGTATTAGTAGAGGTGCTGAGATGCATAAACAAGTGTTATCCCCCCCATAGGGTAATTTTCTATTTTTATTTTCCAAATTGGATTTGCTTTAGAAGCCAGAGAAAACAATGAAAAAGCTGTCCCTGTGGAGGGTGGTATTTATATTTGCATGTGATTTGCATATAGCCATGCTGCATAAATAATGACCGGGTAAATGGCTTAATCCAGGGTGGTTTTCAAATTACACTGCTTCTGTTGGTACTGTTGGATTGTATTTTTTTACTTCTCCTCTCTGCTTTCTCAACCACGGCTTCTGACATAATTCACCACGTAGTTGTGGGTGGGGGGAGGCTTGTAAGAAATGGTGAGGAATTCTAGATGCTTTTTGGTTGGGCGCATAGCAGTCTTCAGGCTGTCAATTACTCTGGAAAGTCTTTCCTGGACCCTAGAGAGAGTTTCTTATTTCTTCCTCAATGTTAACTGTTGAGTGAGGCAGGAGGAGCCTAGAGCACAAACTTTAAGGAGGGACACTCTCAGGGTTGCACAAGTACAAGCCATCTGGCTGTCCCCCAGATTCCTGCTGGTCCCTCCCATTGGTGGAACCCAACTGGAAACCAGAGGGCGAGGGAGTTGCGTCCATAGAGGTCTGCCTTCCAGGGCACAGAGCAGACAATGCACCTTCAAAAGCAACCAGGAAAACACCCAAATATCCAGCACAACTGTCATAAGGAGAATGCTAGAAATTAAGCCTGGAAATATGACCTAATCCTAACAGGTGGAAATTTTCCATGTGTTCTTGGAAGTCTCTTAAACATGACACCTTTTGGAAACCACAGTTTTCAAGTGCGTTTTTAATATCACATCTACCAATAGCATTGAGTACAGACATTTATAATGACCCCCTTTGTATCTGTTTTCTATTGCTGCTATACAAGTTATCACAAACTTAGTGGCTTAAACAACACCCATGTATTGTTTCACAGTTGGGTAGGTCAGAAATCTGACACAGGTCTCACTGGGCTAAAATCAAGGTGTTGGTAAGGCTGCCGTGCTTCTGGAAGCTCGAACCTGTTTCCCTGCTATTTGCAGTTTCTAGAAGCTGCCTGCCTTCCTTGGCTAGCAGCACCCTCCTCTGCTTTCAAATCCTGCTTTGGTGGGCTGAGTCCTCATGTTCATCACTCTGGCTGACTCCATAGTCCCATTCCCTTCTCTGACCCTTCTTTGCCATATTCTTCTGCACTGAAGGACCCTTGTGGATAATCCCAGACACTCTCTCTATTTGCAGGTCCATTAACTAACAACCTTAATTCCATCTGCAGCCTTAATTCCCCTTTGCCATGGGCTGAACCTAGTCACAGATTTGGGAGGATTAGGATGTGCACATCTTTGGTGGCCATTACCCTCTGCAAAATGAATACTTGAAAAGTTTGCCTAGATTCGTGGTTCTCAATATGTTTTCTCTCAGTCACTGTCACATTTTTCTGTACTAGAGAATTACCTCCAAATCCCCCCAGAGACTGATCTAAAGTTGGGAGAATTTACAGGTAGGGCATGCTTGGGAAACTGTGACTCCAGCTTATGGGCCACCACCCTGAATTCAGTGTTCCTGACCTCAGAGTGGCCCACACTTCTTTTTGCCAGAAACTACTAGAGCAGACAAACCCAGATGGAGGTGGCGGTGTCCCCTGCATGCACTGGGCGGAGGGCTAGAATGGGGGACTGAGGAGGTGACTGCAGCCTGTGGGGGTCAGCTCCTGGAATCCTGCATAGTATTCCTCTAAGGCCTGCTGGGCCTCAGCCTCCACTGCACTCTCTGTCCCCCTACTCCCACGCCCTCCCCTGTCCCCATCCCAGCCCAAGAAACCTGCTTCCTTATTTTCTCTTCTGCTTTGGTGGCTGGTTTTGATACCACTCAGTTCCTCAATGACTTCTGCATGTTGAATCTTCTTAAATAATGACCCAGATTTGTGGAAATAGGAATTAATGGTGAGGGAAGTGATTTTTTGTGTGTCTTAAAAACAAAGCAAAGACTCAGCCTTTCCTTAGGTTGCCTCTGAGCAGGTGAACAGCTTTGTCTGCAATGTAGGTGATGCAGTGGGACAGTAAAGCTGGTTAGGAAAACAGGCTTAGGTCCTGCACCCTCTCCTGGTTGCCAGACTGAGGTCTGAAACCACCCTCCACATTACACAATGACTCATCTGTTGGGGTCCCCCTTAGTTAAATGAAGACCTAGCGGTGCATCTCCTGACCAGATTATGTTTTGGGTGGGGGCCAGTCATGGAACCCTAAACACGTTCAAGGTGACCCCAGAAGACAAAAACACAAGGCCACCTTGCCAGGAAAGAAGATGCTGAAGCACAGAGTGTTCTGTTGGGGATGATAGACTATGCTGCAGGGCAGAGAGGCAGAGATGAAAAGACTGCGTGGCTGACAGCTGTCACCTCAAGGCAGCCAGGATAGATTGCTCCAAGAGCCAAGAACTCCTTACCGGGGGCCCACCTGCAGAGCCAGGTCTCGGAGGCCCCAGAGCAACCATTCCTGCCACATCAGTTGCGTTATAAATTATGAAACTGGCCAGTTCGGGTGAAGGAGATAAAGCATGTGAGAAGGAGAAGCAGTGGTCACCCGGATGGGGGGAGAGTTCCTTCTATTTGGCAGCAATATTAGTCTCGGGGAAGCAGCTGGTATTGTCATCGGGAGAGAAATGACCCCTTGGAAAAACTAAAGGTAGAGAAAATAAGAGATCCAGGAAGGATGCCACATTTGTAATATCCTCTGAGTGTTTTTTTGGGGCCGCTGTTTCTCAAATTAGTCTTGTTTGCCTGTTATTTCTCAGCAACTCCCCTGTTATTGTATACAAATCGGGGCACAATGGATTCTAGAGCTTGACATTGGTGTGCAGTGGGGATACAATCTGCGAGAGAAACAGAGGCATTTTGCATGGGATAAAAAATAGAACGAAGCCAATAAAAACGTGACAATTACGATGGCTGTTGTTAATTGAACGTGGACTCTGTGCTGAACACTGCCTTTTAAAATTTAATCCTTACAAGAACTACATGAGGAAGGAATTATTACCCTCATTTTATAGATGAAGAGGATTACAGAGATTAAATAATCAGTCTCCAATTGCCCAACAAGAAATTGGCCAGAGTGGAGTTGAACACCAGATCTGGGCGTCACGCGGGCGTCCTGAGGAAGTTAGTCACGGCACTTGAGTGAGTCAAGCTGGCATAAAATCTTGGCTTCACTATTTGGGCCAAATGTGACCTTGGGCACATTTTCTTAACTTCTCTGAGCATTGGTGATTTTTGTTTGTTTGTTTGCTTTAAAATGAGGATTAAAATACCTACTTGGCAATGGCTTTGAGACCAGTGAGATAATGTGGAGAAGCCCTTCGGTTGCAGCCCCATACATAGTAAGTAAAGTTGCTGTTGTTGCTGTTTCATTGTCATCACCATAATCTTTATTAGTTTTCGTATTATTAACACAAATACTGTACAGAACTAAACCAGTCCTGTCACAATTTGGGGGGTTAAAGGAGACAGGAAGGAGGGGCAGTTCCAAAATGGAAGTAGCTGAATGCCAGGCAAGAGTGTGGACTCATCGCTGCTGGGTCAGGAAACTGCAAGGTGAAATTGGGGATCTTCACATTTAAGAAGATAAAGAAGCATGTAGATTATTATTTTTTAATTAATACCCTTCACATTGGAAAAATATATCCAACATTTGACTTTCTTATAGGAATGGAGGTAATTTGTTGGACGCGTTTAGCCTAGACCTATAGCTCGTTCACCTCAAATGTCATGGGGCCCAGACGTGAGATGTTTAGAGTTGGGCCCCGGCCCCTCCACGAAGGGCCCCGGGTCTTGCTCCTCCAGCCGAAAGGAATGGCTGGGATTCCTGGAGTCCAGGTATTCATATAGAAATGTAGACGCTAAACTCAGTTGGTTTCTAAGGTCCCTTCCTAGTCTTATGTTCTGTGGTTCACAGTGTGAGCCGGCTTTGCCTAGAAGACATGCCTCAATGTGCAACCTAAGGTATAGAAACATCCGAGAAGTCCAAGTCAGGGTCCAGGGTGAGTGAATGAGCCCTTGCATTTGTGGCCTCTGTGCTCTTTAGCCTCCTAGATAGTCACCAGTGATCTTCATCTCTGGGTCTGGTGTTCCTCTCTCGTTCCCTCCCATATTGAATCCAGGCTGGCCTTTGTGACCAGTACGTTATAGCAGGAATGATGGCGTGTGACTTCCAGGCTTAGAAAGAACAAAACTGCTTTC